ACTCGCCCTCCTCTCATGTCGCTAACGACTCAGCCCCCTAATCACTTCACAATCACCTCATACCAACACATGCTCAGATGTACCGTGAGGAGTGTGGCTGGCAACCCACCGGCTCCTCCTCGCGTTCATGGACAATCGTCCATCCTCCAAATTGCTATCACACCTGGCTGGGCGACCACGGAGCGAACGAGCGAGGAGTTGATGTGGGAAAGACTTTGGGCAAGTGTGGTCCAGTTGCAATTATTGAATTTATTCGGTGATACTGCCAGTGGCACTCTGCCTCCCCTCCACACTTCAAACCTCACCCTCCAAGATATTCCTCACAATATGCCTCCAGGGCGTCCTCTTGGCCGATATCTACAAAAGCCAATGATTGTTCGATGATCCTCAGTCGAGACCAGCCAAGCAGGGAAGTGGGCAGAAACGGCCATACGTACCGGCTGCAGCGCTGGATTTCTTTTTCTTCTGGCTATTGTCGAGGGCATACGCTCACTTATATCCAGCCAAAATTCCCAGGACGGCGTTCTCCATGCGATGCTCCAACTACGCATCATCTCAACATTTGCTCGCTGCAATGTTCTCTCGCGATTCCAACACCCCTTCGCATAGGAAGGCAACCGAACGAGTTTGAAGTTCACGACGACGTCTATAGTGTACCGGTGAAACCAAAAAAGAAGCATCAAATTAATCCGGAAATTCAAAAGAAGGTAAGTGGGTAAGTAGTTGGAACATAAATGCAGGCGTAAAATTTTCTATCGAGAAGTATCAGTAATTCTCATCGTGAAATACAGGCAGGTTCTTCGAGCTTGCATATCCTCCGTTAATGCTGATGAAGGCAGGAAGGTAAAATGAAACTCACAGGTGCCCAGACGTGCATGAAAGACGAGGTTGGACAGTTTAGAGACTGGATCCACCTGCCACAGTGACAGCTGGGAGATAAACGGTTCGTGTGGCAGTTGGTCCTGGAAGCTCAGTGTCGTCGATGACGACCACGATGGGTGGCCAGCCAACGGTCATTGTCTTTTGTGCGACCGCTACAGACGGAATGTAAGTCGCCCTCCTCATGCAGGAAGTCCAAAAATCAACTTACGTTGAGCGGCGACAGCGGAAAGAGCAGCGAAGAAGGAGACGAGGGCGATGGCGCTGAACTGCATCTTTAGATGAAGATAACGGACGGATTTGAGGAGGATTGGGTGGAGGAGAGAGGGCCTCTAGGTTCGTGAAGAGAAGACTAATGATTTGCACGAGTCGTCGATGGCATCCTTTATACTCCCGTCCTACTTACCGGTTGTTTGCCATCTTAACCCGAGCCCTCAAATGATGGAAATTTTAGCAAGTTTTGGGTGCAGCACTCAAGCTTTCCCGAGCCACCCCGTAACCGTCCTTGGAATTCCACATGGAGAGGATGATCCATGGCCAGGGGAATTGTCATAGACACCATCACCTTAATGGGTTGGCAACCGAACGCGGACCCAAATACTTCATGTGGTTTTGGTATGCACCCGAGTTCCACTTGATTGCCCTGTATGTACTCTGAATCCCTGTTGACTTGCTTAAAGGTGCCACTCGCCTGTGAGGCCACTTCCTTTTCGTCTGCAGATTTCGGAGTCGTCATACGACGCTTCGCGTTCAGCGAAGATATGACCCGGTTTGTTGAGAAGAGCAGATCCGCAATCGTGATATCATATGCTATCATACCTTCGAAGTTGTTCGAAGTTGATTGTAATCTAACTTTCAAAGGATTGAAACGCCGTGCAGATCAACATCCGCGCATGCTCTGACATATGCATCCTCGACTGGACTCGGGAAGATCTCCCCCGGCCTAAGTTGCTGCGTAATTTTCTTTTTTCACCTGTTCGTGCGATTCCTGAAAACGACGCCGATCCTATAGATATGGTGCATAGAACAGGTACCCCTGGAAACCCGGCGCGGATTTGAGAGCCCAAAGATTGGGAAATCTCCGTCCCAAACGTGCGGATTTGAAGCTTCTCAGGTCCTGCCATACTCTGTCCTTGGCAGTTGCTGATGAAGCGGTAACTCCATTGCGATTCGGCGGAGGGGTCCAGCCTGAGAGACGTTGTCGACTACCGTACTCGGGTGACCGGTCAGGAAACTGGCGGGTTCAAGACTGGTTCAAGGGAGCAATCTTTCGTCGTCTAATGCGATCGGCAAACAACTCTACGCATGGGGGCCACTAGGAACGGTTTCGTATCCCCGACGATCACTCTCTAAACGATCAGTTGAAGGGGCGGTATAAAAAATTAGTGGTATTGAGAGAAATAAATTGGTATTTTATCTATCGTCTGTTTTGTGCCCTGCGGCTGACTGACTTCCTTCGAGCATTCAAACAGCTCTTTTTCGCCTCCTTATGCAACCGCATGGGCATCGACATGGGCAGGCCATTATAGAACACCGCTTCCAATAGCAGTCTGGTGCATGGAGAGTGCTGGAATTTATGGAAGGGAGGTACCCAAAGTGTACCGATCATGATAAGTATTGTCATTGTTTCGAAGAACGTTTGTGAGGTCAAGCTTTCAAGTTCCGGACATTGGGTTAAGAAATTCGGCCTGGTTCTTGAACCATTTAGCAATCCTTACAGGTCCCGATAAGATCCAAGGAAGCTGCGACTTGGTGGCTGGTGAACCGAGCCTCCTGCCAATGCGTAGCGACAGCAGCTTGTGAGTTCAGCATTCGCTTGAGTATTACCAGCGCTCCAGGGGCCCGGGCTTATGCAGCCACCTAAAATCAACATTCCTGACTGAATACGTGATCAATTAACCACCAGAAGGGAACTAAATGACGGAGTTACAGTACCGAAGATGGACTATGTGGTAAGAAGTTAAGCGTCGTGCATCATATGCATCATATATAGCGAGAGCGCTGGTCTTTCAGTGTCAGGCACATGTCCCTGGACCGCTTTGTGGACCGTCCCTCAAAAATGGAAGCCGGCCGTGGACTCCCCAATGTCGCAGCCAATGACGTAGCGGGTGGCTACAGGAGATCTATGACGAACGCGTCGTCCAAAGACAATATAAGAATGTCTCTCATTACTATTCTTCCTCACTTTCACTCTCTACATCGCTCTCAACTCCAATGCTGTCCTCAGAACCAATTCTTCAGAGCAACCTCGCCCACACACGCGATAACAAGGAAGACGACGTCGCCGTTCGTGGTGCTGGAGCACCATCTGTGGCAGGCTCCAGGCCTACGTTGAGCAGCACCATGAGCAGGGATTCTACATCTATGCTGCCCATCGAAGAGGACGTGGAGCCCAAACCATCCACGTCAAAGCCTTACGGTGCCGGCGGCTCTGAGGCTGAACCTGACCCTGAAATACCTATCACCTCTGCCCTCATCCCGGACTCCATGCGCAAGCGCAATCGCTCACACGACGAAAATGCTGCAGAACCAGAATCCTCGATCGTCCGACAACTTCGTCCAAAGAAATTGACACGCACAGTCTCCCCACCGCTCTCAAACGCTCGGTTGAGCAATTTCGTCTATGCGTTGGTGTTTTTGACGGGCTTCTTGATGACCTACTATGCGTGGAGGTTGTATTCGTGGAAGATGGGAGGTAAAGGCGGGATTTCACAAGTTGTTTGGAACCGAGTCCGAGGGAATGTTCCTCAAGTTCACGTTCCTGGCGGGCTTGGGCCAGATATTGCGGGTGGTGCTGGAATCAAAGGGGCGAAGAAAAACGGCGCACAAAGGGAGTCTGTTGAAGATAAAATTGACGATTTGGCAAGAGTATTGGGTATGCCGTCGAAGGAGTTGGCTTCGGCTATCGCGATTGCTGTGAGGGAATATGTACCTCCAGCGAGCTTGTCGTCGATTGCGGCCAAGGAGACGGGAGCAATCGTGGACGCGTTGGTTACGGGTCATTCTGACTATGTTGTTGACCCGGAGCGCATCAGGGTGAAGAAGGAAGTATCAGAGGGATCGGGTGTCATTGGCAATGTTGCGAGTGGGATGGGATCGTTTGTTGGTATGGAAGAGCCTTGACTGCGTTGACGGACATTATGAGTCGGCCATACGACACAGGTTTGTATCTATCTCCATCTGTCTACAGAGCCTCGACTGTAATATCTAGCCTCTTCTTACTCCAAACCGCTGCTTCGCAGCGTACCCTTTCCACTTCTGTATGTCTTCACGCCCAAGAAGCAGCTCGACCGTATAGAAGTTTATTGCAAGATCCTCATTGTTCGTAACGTGGTGCACATACGAGTGACATGGCCTATGTGAAGGTTCGATTAGCATTTGAATGTACTAGGAGGGATATAACTCACCGACATAACCAGGCCACAGAGTTTATCTGACTCTCAGGATGCCAACCCTTCTTCAACACCTTGGTATGTGTTGACCTTGGTATCAGGTGGTGGTACGTCAAGGGTACCTCCCGTTCACAGATCTCGCATTCGGCTGTGCGTGTCGAAGACCAGGGCGGTGGTGCTGCACAAGCTTCACCAACATACTTCGCGACGACTTTGCGCAGGAATTTCAACGCGTCATCGGAATCAGGTACGAGGTCATACGAAACGAGTGTGTCAATGAACTCGGTGGGTGTTGCATCGAGGGAGAGTTTGTCGACATCTGGCACCTCATTGCGGGTTTCGTATGTGGCGGTTTGAACGGAGGTGGGGAGTATGGACCAGGATTCTTGGCTCAGGTAGGATGTGAAGTCATCGAGCTCTGTTGGGTCGGTGACTTCAACACGAGAGAGAAGATGGCTTGCGAGTGTGTCTTTGAAGAGGGAGTATTGAGAGCTGGAGAAGTTGTTTGATGCCATGGTTGACTAGGCCTGGGGTTGGGTGCTGTTCGGTGTGGGGTACAGTGTGCTCGTTTATATCTTGTTAGCTGCATGGCTTCGGAGCCTTACACCGGTACCGGTGCTTCGACGTGGGCTGTGTACAATGGCGTGGCCCTTGAAGTCCCCTGAAGGTGATGTGCTTGGATGTGGGCGATCAGCGACACTGGTGGGCTCGGAGTAGGACGCAGGTGTTGCCTTCTTGGCTCAGTTGGTTAGAGCGCAGGTCTCATATGTCATTGTGAGCTGTTTCAGACAGTGTAATCCTGAGGTCGTGAGTTCGACCCTCACAGAAGGCACAGATTTTTCTTGCAGCGAGCGATTACATGTTTTTGCAGTGGCGGCGTGGGATAGAAGATTTTTGAGGGTGCATCCGCCAAGATGAGTGGAAGAATTTTCAATTGGTTGCGCTTGAGGAAAGAGAACGAGTCAGAAAGAGTTGGGCTGAGTTGGACGACATTGAATCGTCCCTGAGTATCATGATTGTGCATTGAAGCTGTACTGTATTCCAGGAACGCTATACGAAGTTGATCGTGATCGTCATGTTTGTCACCGGCCTAAACTCAACTTTCTCCGCACAGCCGCACTTCCTCACACTGTAATCTTCGCACTAGGGATTCGGCCATGAACCATGGCTTCACAGCAGCAACAACCTCGACGGAGAGTTTCATATGTTATACCTGCTCCTACTGAACCCCTACCGGAATTGGTTTTACCGCCATGCGGGTCCTCGAGGCTAGGAGCGACTGGTCCAAATATTATACCGTTGACACGAAGTGGGTCAACGAGTCCTCTGTCAAATTCATCTGTGGCGAGAAGGAATGGTGGTACGCCAAAACATAGGCTTGGAGTGGCTTCACTTGCCATAGATTCGACGACTTTACTTCATGCGAATACCTCTCCCGAAGGTATTTTGTATTCGGGTGGGAGAGATGGGATGGTTATGTCTTGGGATTTGGGGTTACCCTTTGTCAAGAAAAGGAACGTTGAGAATGATGGGAACCCATTGAACTTGAACTTGAACTTGAAGGGAGGGACAGGGAAGAGAAGGTGGGAAGTTATGGTTGGGTGGTTGGATGAAGATGCGGACGAGGATGATGAGGATGGAGACGAGAGGATTGGGCGAGATGGAGATGTGTTGGGAGAAGTTACGACGCCATTGCAGAGAGCTAAGCAATATTGCAAGGACGCTGGTGTCGTTGAGAGGCAGTGGCAGTTTGATTCGACGTCGTTGCAACCTCATACGGTGGGTGTGCCATACGTCCGGACAGCATTCTTTGTGCTCATTGGTGTCATTTGTAGCCCAGTCATTTCCGACAATGCTGTCAGATGCATATGGACTGGATAAACGACATTATCCTTTGTAATTATAACCAGACAGGTTTGTGCAGGCATCCTTCCTTGTGAATTTGTTCTTGATCGTGCCGTCTAGTCGTCACTGCATCATCGGATGGTACAATCAAAGCGTGGAACCCACACACGTCTGTTCCATCCGAACCAACTCTCGTTGGGACGCACAACGACTATGTGCGGTGTCTAACACAATGGTGAGCTCGTTTCCTGGATATCCACGTCGCACTAGCGCTCAAAGTCTTTACAGTCCAGACCAGAACTGGATAGCTTCTGGGTCGTTTGACCGTACTATCAAACTTTGGGATTTGAACAAGACAGGAACAGACCCAATCACAACTCTCAACCCACCCGACGCGAATGCTCCTAAATCGTCGATATATGCCATTGCTTGTGATAGATTCGGAACGACAATTGCTTCTGGTTCGCCTGAACGTGTTGTTCGAATGTGGGACCCGCGGAGTGGAAAGCGAACGGGTGAGTAGGTTTGGGGGGTCGCCAAAGCTCTTTAGTTTAACAACGGTCCCTCAGGCAAACTCGTGGGGCATACCGATAATATCCGGGCTATATTAATGTCGGATGATTCGAGATATGTACGTATAATCCCCTCTTCTCGTCATGCGGTATGCTTATGGTGTTCTCCCTGTAGCTTTTGACAGGTTCTGCCGACGGTATAAAACACTTCTTTCTTTGCAACGCGGAGCTAATTTGGCATCCTTAGCTACCATAAAACTTTGGTCCCTGGCGTCTCAGAGATGCTTGCATACATTCACGTATCATGCAGACTCTGTTTGGTCTCTATATTCATCTCACCCTTCTCTAGAGGTTTTCTACTCTGGTGATAGGTCAGGTATCGTTTGCAAAGTCGATGTGGAGGGATGTACCGATATAGGTGAAGGCGAATGTGTTGTTCTCGCTCAAGATTCAGCAGATCAGGGAAAAGCAACGAGCGAAGGTATCAACAAAATTATCGCGTTGGATGACGACGAGCTCGTATGGACGGCTTCTGGTAGTTCGTCTATCAAGCGGTGGAAAGCACCTCCAAGAAGAGCTCTTCGTGTGGTTCCGATTCAACCTGAAGTTGAGGAGCGACCTAGATCGGAGTCTCCTCTATGGCGACCCCGGTTGAACAGCAGTGGTGGTCTGGAGACGAATGCCCGTCCTCCGACGGGTCAAGGACATCGCGCGTCTATGGCACCCTCTCTACGGTCCATCGCGTCCCTCAATAGAATGCTTCAACATCCCAACGAAGCAGAAATGACTCTATTCGGAATCGAATTCGACAGCTTGGTTCATCTACCTTCACCCATCGATGCCTTTTCACTCTTTCCTTCGACAAGTGGAAGAGCCGACCGTGATCCTGAAGTTGCTACCCTCTATTCCGCAGCTTCCGTCATGTCTGTGCCTAGAAATTCGATGTTGAGGTCACCCACTCAAACGGTGTTTCCACGTTCAAGTCCTTTGAGGGGTGGACGTACAGAAGATATGATTCTACCACCCAATTCGGCTAGAGCTGCTTTTGGAGAGAGGGAATTAGCAGCAGAGGCGATTCCGTTACAGGATTCCCCTGACTATGTGATCACAGGAGATCACGGTCTTGTGAGAAGCATCATCTTGAATGATAGGTTACATGCTTTGACTGTGGATACTTCGGGTGTGGTAGGGGTCTGGGATTTGATTAGGGGGAGGTGTTTGGGGGCATATTCGCGTGAGGTTGTGGCGGTTGCGGCTGCTGGAGGATCGAGTAGTGAAGTTGGGAGTGGTGGAAGTGAGAGGGAGTTGGGACCGAGGGAGATGTTGGAGATTGTTCGAGAGAGGGTGGAAGGTGAGGCGATGGTTTCGCAGTGGTGCGTGGCGGATACAAAGACGGGGGTGTTGACGATTCATGTCAATGATCGGTGTTTTGAGGCAGAGGTGTATGCCGATGAAGTTGGGTTCATGAATGATAAGAGGTTTAATGACGAGTCTAAAAGTAAGTCTGGATTCTTACTTGGGGTGTTTATGGTCACTGAATTCGGGTTTTACCTAGTGAATCTGGGCAAGTGGATCTTGAGAAACTTGTTCAAGGAGTTCATTCGAGAACAACAAAGGCTACGACATACCTCCGAACACGGGGACAGGTCTTCGGTCAAACCACCTTCACCCGTAAATCGGACTGCAGAGGCACTACACCGATTACACCGCAAGACATCTAGTCTTGTCGTCTGTTCACCAACTATGAGTCCTATCGTCACACCAAACTATCCACGGACAACACCACCTACACCATTGCTTTTACCGACAACAATACCTATCATCCCACCTACAGCCGAGCCAGGCGATGAACCTACACCAACATCTTCTCAGATCCAAACCTTACCACCGTATCAACGTAAGAGGTCAGGTACTCTTGACGGATTGACGGGTATATCACCCCCTCCTTCTGCAATGAAGGAAGACTACTTTATTACGACACCTCGGAATCGAAAGCCTTCATTACCAGGGATCATACCTCCTAGTGCCAACCTCAATTCCAACACAACCACTCCGGCGAATACTAGTGCCGGTACTAATACCGATGATTTTTCGGGTTGGTCAGGACCTGCGAAGGGTAGTCTTACACCCGCAGGTCAGGATGTACCTCCTACGCCTAGTACACCAAGTGGATTGATGGGGAGGCTGAAGAGTTTTGGTGGGAAGATGGCTGGAAGGAGACCATTGAGTGATGTTACAACTTCACCTGCGGTGAATACGACGAGTACGCCTGAGACGCCTGCTGTTGAGGTATGCACGTTTCTTCTTCTCTAGGTGGGATTGTTGGCTGAGAGTCACGAAAGGCATCGGGTGCAGCAGCTGGTGTTAACCTATCGGCTGTTCAAACACTGTTAGCAGGAACACTCTCACCTCCCACAACCAGTGAATCACCCAACTCGGATTTACCCCCAAGTACCACCATTCTTATTGCAGAAGAGGGGTTACCTGGTTATAGCACCGTCTACCGAGGTTCTGTGGCATCCACGCATTTGGATTTGAAAGCCCTGGAAGAGGCCATGCCGATGTGGTTGTTGGAATATTTACTATTGAATAAGATTCCACAGAGTGCGCCGTTACCCAAGTTGAGCTTTGTGTTGATGCCTTGGCCTGAGAAGGAAGAGAAGGAGAGGTTACCTGAGTTACTGAACACGTGAGTTTTCCATTAGTTCCTGTTGTATAGTCGTACGAGGCTGACGGGTGTTTCTGCAGCACGCAGTCGAAACTTACGGCTGGAAGGTATCTGAGAGTGAGAAAGTTGGTTCTTCATGTCAGTGTTCTCGATTTGCGGCACCCCTGCGATGAGAACTTATCTTCTTGTAACAGGTGCACGAAAGACTGGAAAAAATGGCATCTGCAAGTTCAAGACCAACTACCGCTGCGAGCAATGGCACAAACACCCATCATAGTATCCACTCGCACGATGTTCGCTCGTCTGATCCTCGTCCATCTTCTGGATCGGTCGGTGGAAATACGAACGGGAACGAGGAAAGTGCAAGGAACGCAGCTTTGTCAGAGGAGCTGTATGAGGTATTGTGTAATGATGTGATTTTACCTTTGGATATGACTTTGGCTGCTGTAAGACAGTACGTGTGGAGGCAAGGCGGGGAGTTGGTTATGTATTATAGAAGGAGGAGGAAAAGTTGATTATAATTTCGCTTTGTGTTTAGTGGAGATACAGCATATGCTACGTTCTTTTACACCTGTACCAATCCTACAGGACTCACGGAATGATGCATATGATGATGGAGGTTGAGCTACAGTCCCTCATAAGACTAGATATTGCGGACATAAATTCCTGGTTGCGAGTGGCAAATCACAGATCTTTCAGCATATCTCTTGTAACCTTGACGAGACGCTCTCCCGTGGCCTCCCGAAAGCCTTGCATTCGCTCTGCAAGACTTGTGCATTCAGGATTGGCAGCTAAGATTGAGAAAGC